GAAGTTCCATAGGCCGATGTCATAGTTTGCGAATCGAGCGATTCGCTAGCGAATCGCTCGATCCGAGCGTTGCGCCAGCGAATCGAACGTTGCACCAGCGAATCGAACTTTGCGCCAGCGAGTCGAACGATGTACCAGCGAGTCGAACTAGGTACCAGCGACTCAATAGTGGCGGGACCCAACGTTTAAAGGGAGCCCGCCACTTTCAAACAGTGTCCACGGGCCCCGAAGTCCCGCCACTATTGAGTCGCTGGTACCTAGTTCGACTCGCTGGCGCAAAGTTCGATTCGCTGGTGCAACGTTCGATTCGCTGGCGCAACGCTCGGATCGAGCGATTCGCTAGCGAATCGCTCGATTCGCAAACTATGACATCGCCCTAATGAGCTCTTAAATTTATAAATGACTCGATCTACAGTACTTCAAAATAAGATAAAACAGCCGAGCTCCGACCCGTTCAGGAATGCGCCACAACGTTTTGCATGAGCAATAGTGACCTGAACGATAGTGCTCCTGTCACTGATCAATTCTACTTTGGTGGCGCCACGCACGTAGCCAGAGTAATCGCTGAGGAAACGACACGGCTGTCGAAGATTTTTGCACAGATTTCCACGTGGTTGCCACTATCGCCATCGCCCGAGCCGGGCGTCTGTGCTCTTCGATGATTGCTTATTCCGCATATTCTTGACACCCCAGTAAGAGTCATGATGATTGAGGAATTTCTCGACCGCTTATTCACCCTGCAATAGCCTTACTCAGAACTGCAATAGCATATGAATGCGTTTTTTTTTCAATATTGCAGTAGGCTGCATGTTTGCCAACTGGCAGGGCACTGTTTTCTCTTTTTGTATTAATTTTGGACAAATCAGTCTTCCCAAATGAGTGTAGCGCTTGCATTGTCCGGGCGATATTCAGCCCAGTGCACTTGCTAATGGTGCTAGCTGCCCTGACCATATCTTCACTTAAAAAAAGAATGTAATACGTCCACCCCTTCACAATGTGAAAGCTGGCTCATCGTCGGTCATCTCACTTCACGTCCAAAATCTTTCTACTTCCAGGCACACAATCTCAAACCAACGAACGGTTGCATTACGGCTGGTCTAATGTTGGAAGGTGGACACGAGTACGACCCTCTGATGTATATTCACCTTGTACAGGACTACGGTCTTGAAGTTGATGTGAGTTTCAGTGCTCTTTGTCTGATGGCATACCCCATGCTTCCAAATCAGGGACCAGTGCCGTTTCGCGAAAAACTGTCAGTAGGGTTTCTGTCTTAAGGATGGTAATATTCAGGTAGCGCAACATTTGGCACATACCTACGGTGATCGAGCGTTTGTGGTAGCCCGAATGTGCAAGATGACCGGCAAACGATGGCCAATTATCGGCACCCGTCTTCATCAGGAATTCCCCTATTTGGACGCGGAAGTACGTGATTTTCCTTTTTTTATACCGTTTCTCCATAAAAATGGTAGCAAACTGCCATTCAAAGAAATCGTCCCGGAAAATTCTTGCTTCTTTCTCGTGATCACTAGAGACAAAGCACAATGATTTATGCAAGAAAATGCAGTTTCCGACGCGAACGACCCTTCGAAAACCACACTCAATGGACGGCCGAGGGTAGGTTAGGTGGAAACATGCGAACGCAAGGAGAGAAGTGCTCCTTGGTGCAGTTACGTGGGGCGACACATCGAAGAAGGGGGCGGTGGGTTAGTACGAATGTGGAGAGAGGCGAAACCATCAATAGAATGGGAGTCGTTGAAGTAGGGTCTCTTACAATAGGCGAAGATCTAAAGGTGAATATTTCCACCTCCTCAACCACCAACTTTCGTGAAATCCTCATTTGAGTACCACTGTAGTCAAAATGCTCAGCGCTGACCAATCTCACAGAGTGCGCCATGCATTGGATCTTTTGCTCGGAGCTGTAGACTCACTTAGCTATGCGTTATGCAATCGGCAAACTCTTGTAAGAATTACCCAATCATCTAGTCTCATCTTTCTGGGAAGCTCCGCCACAAACCACCTAAGCCTGAGAAGGTTGAATCGTTATGTGACCTCGGTCAAAAAATACCGGGTGGTACAAATCTTCAAGCCTTAGACAATTCGTGCCTATTGAACAATGGAAAGCAGTGACAATGCCTTTATTGAGGCTATAGTCTCTCGTTGGAATACTACGTTCCATACCGCATCTTATCACTACTGCAAGCTTATAATGACGAGTTACCAGTTGTTCAGGTACGATACGCCGTGCGAGAGTATGCTTGCACAGCGATTGATGTGATTGCAAGGCGAACACGACTCGCATTCCTGAACACGTATGCCGCTCATGAAGTTCTTCCCGATGTGAGTTTAGATTGGAGTGACTGTATTTTTCAATGTTTGGTGAGAATAAGTTGTCTGTTAAATGAGGGAATAACGTGCTAGGTCTTCTGGTTAACCTATTGCCGACCGCGTGTTGCACCATATGAAGCATGCTGGTGGTAGGGGCCACCTACAAAGTTCTCCCACCAATGAAGCCTGAAGACGTCATTAAAACCGCTCCGCCTCTCAGTCATCGTTTTCACTGCCTTTAAATGTCATATCAGGTTGTTCGCATCATGGGTGAAGAGCTTGGTTGGTCATCGACAGAGCAACGAACTCAATTGGAGAAGGCACGTCAATTCATCGACGTCGAAATGGGTCAACTCGCTAAACAGAATGCTGCCAGCAACGTTACACTTAATCTCACCAAGTGAGTCATCTTTGCATTTTTCTTTCATTTGAGGCTTCCATCAGTCTACTCTTCTTCGACCTTTTCACAAGGTAACCCGGGAATTTTGCTCAATTCGAGCTCACCTGTTAAAGGCAAAAGTCGGGCTCAATAAGGGGGTATTATGGCGATTGAAACTGAGTATAGAGATGCGAAGTGGAACGACAGTGGAGAAAAAACTGAGAAAAACCGTCGACAAGGCCGTTAACAAAACCCTCTTTCCCACTAGCAGTGAAGGAGGCTGGCTTGGGGAAGAGGCACGTACAAACAAGTTTTCTGGAGATGTCAGTCGTTCTATCGGTTGATACGGCAATCAACCTAGCTGATTTCACACGTTATGCCAGCCACGCACCACTTCCGGAGGTGGGCGGTCCTGGATTGACCAGGCGGCCCTGGATTGAAACCGAACGCCCCGGGGCCTTAACGGGTTTTTCAAGGTGGGAAGTTGCTGCAATGTGTGCAGCTACCCACATACAACTCCAGGCACGGGAATTACTTCTCTAGCGTGTCTGAGCCCGACCTTTGCCTTTAATTTGAGCATGTGATGCTACTCTCATCGCTTTGCCCTCTTCAACCCTACGCTCTCTCAGCTATCTAATCACTCGCCACCTATTGTACTACGGCGAGTGATCAGACGATCGGTGGGCGGAGATCGCCGAACTCGCCAACTTTGAGCCATGCTAGATCTCAGAGGTCAAATCTTTCGATGCCGATTGCGTGTCTGTCCGCACCCTCAAGAGATTCACCGCTCTCCCCACTAGGCGATTTCTCCCTTCTTCGACCTTCGTTCTTTCCGTGCAATCCTCCTTTAAGGGGGAGGCGTGAACAATTTCTGTATTGCATTTCACGAAACTTGCGAGAGGACTTCTAAGTTTGTGCGTGTGTAATTCCCTTGCAACTTTGGAACCCAAATCCACTGCAAGAGATCAGCGCCTTTGGGAAGACCATGGAGACATCGCTTGTTTGGCCCAATCCGGACCAACAACGCCGTATGCGACAGCAGGCCGGTCGCGCGGCAAGCATGACTTAGGTTGTAAGGAAATTGAAGTATTCGATTTAGGCAGGAATCGACCACAGAAAAATCATCATCGAAGGATGAAAAGCCATCATCAAAAGAATCACAAAAATCATAGTAGAAAGAGAAGCGGTTTGCTCTCCAAGATATCCTATTGCAAAGAGATCTGAGATAAATGAGTAAAGCGTTTCCTCCACTAAACCCCTCAACAATATAAAGTTCATAGCATTTTCTCCTTTTTTTAAAGTATTTCGAGAAATAGCTGATCTCAAAGTAAAACAAGCCATCACGGTAAGGATGACTTCGGATCGAAGCGAATTGTATCTAGTTCTACTTACTCAAGATCCCATTCGCAAGAACGAAGGGCTCAAGAGCAGATCATAAGCTTTTTGACTTGTTTCTGTTGGATATTGCAATTGGAAGCACTAGAACGAGAACTGACTTCGATTTCACCTAGGAGTTTTGAGGGCATTAAAGAGACACACCCCTGAGTTGGTGCGGCATTTCCGTACAAATATGAAATTGGGAGTGCTAAGTGGGTCGCCATTTATGTAAA